TTTAAAATTTGTATATCAAGAGAAAGATACAGTTCTTAGAAATTAGTTTTTAAACTTATTAATTTACAGTTTGTGGGATTTGGGGAGTTTAACTGTTTGTTTGTTTTGGGGTCCACACCTGGTAGTGCTCAGGGGTTACCTCTGTCTCTGCAATCAGGAATCATCTTGACTTTATTTGGGAGGCTATATCTGATACAGGGATCAAACCTTATTCAGTTTGCCACTGTACAATCCCTCTGGAACCTTGCTTTAATCATCTATATGTGTGCAAGTATCACCACCTTCACAATAAAATTCTTTAAAAATACCTCTCTTATATGTGGGATATAAGAAACATCCTGAGAGAACAACAAGTGGACGAAGTTTTTGGAGCTGGAGATTTTGTTTATAGAACTGAATTTAAGTGGGAAGTGTTGTGGGTGGAAGAGGTCCTTGGGACACTGGTGGAGGGAAGTCATCACTCTGGCAAGTAAGGGGTGTGACGTTGGAATGATTGATGTATGAAAAAGTACAATTAACAGTGTTTTAAATCCCAGTGATTCAATAAAAATGGAAAAAAACAAATTTATTTGTCACAAGGACTGATTTATAAGTTTCTGGGTTATCTGATTTACCTGTGTAAGAATATGCTTACTAAGGAGATGTACAATTGAGTAGAACATTGATAGTTTTATATCACTCCTGAAGAAAATGCTTCAATCTTTCACCATGACTATTGTGAAGTAGGGGATTTAAAAAAACAAAAACAAAAACAGTTAAAGTAGAAATCATAGTTTTTCTAACTAAGATTTTCCAAGTGGCTAATCACTTCTATGACCTTTTACACTGACATAGATTACTGAGCTAATAAAAGTAGTTTAGAAGAGAAGGAACACATGGAGGGTGCGGGATCCCGGAGGAAAGGAAGGAAGAAAAAACAGGTTCCAAAAAGAGCCGAGAGCACCGGGAAGTTCCAGATGGAGTAGGCGCCGCATCCCGCCTCCCCCAGATGGAACCCTGGTGACCAGAAGCCTCTACAAACACAGCTCGAGTATGCGGGAACGAGGACTTTTTCTCAAATCTGCTGGACTACACCTCCCAGGTAACCTCTGATCCCGGAAGTCATGCCCACAGCCCGCCCCCCAGCGCCATCTTTGAAACGTTCAGAATAAGAGAAGGAACACATGGAGGGTGCGGGATCCCGGAGGAAAAGAAAAAAGAAAAAACAGGTTCCAAAAAGAGCCGAGAGCACCGGGAAGTTCCAGATGGAGTAGGCGCCGCATCCCGCCTCCCCCAGATGGAACCCTGGTGACCAGAAGCCTCTACAAACACAGCTCGAGTATGCGGGAACGAGGACTTTTTCTCAAAACCGCGCGGCTGCTTACGCGGCCGCGCGACATCTCTCTATATACAAAGTGATCAATGAGAAGTAAACCACCCAATCTTTCTCCCTGAAAATCAGAGTTAAGTTTGGAGCATGGCCACAGCCCCAGAAACACAAGGACTTAATGCAGAAACCAGCAGCTTAGAGCAGAAAAGTGAACGGACGATGCGTTAACCCAGGCCATCATTTCTGCCCAGAGGGGAAAAGGGTGTTGCCCCATTCGCCCTCTCTTCTCTGGAAAGAAGGATGGCAGCCGCATGGGAGCCTTGTGGACAGCAGGTATGAGCCGGGGGTGTGGGGGCGACTAAAACCTCATGGGAAGGGGGGCGTTCCGGTCCGTCCTTCACGCCCTACCGAGGTCACCAGTTGCCCCCCACGAGCGGCTCTCCAGCACGGCCACAGCCCCAGAAGCACAAGGGCTTAATGCAGAACCCAGCAGCTTGGAGCAGAAAAGTGAAAGGACTATGCGTTAATCCAGGCAATCATTTCTGCCCAGAGGGGAAAGGGTGTTGCTCCCTTCCGCCCTCCTCCCTCTGGAAAGAAAGATGGCGGCCACATGGGAGCCTTGTGGACAGCAGGTATGAGCCGGGGGTGTGGGGGCGACTAAAACCTCATGGGAAGAGGGGCGTTCTGGTCCGTCCTTCACGCCCTACCGAGGTCACCAGTTGCCCCCCACGAGCGGCTCCCCAGCACGGCCACAGTCCCAGAAGCACAAGGACTTAATGCAGAGCCCAGCAGCTTGGAGCAGAAAAGTGAAAGGACTATGCGTTAATCCAGGCCATCAAGTCTGCTGGAGGGGAAAGGGTGTTGCCCCATTCGCCCTCTCTTCTCTGGAAAGAAGGATGGCGGCCGCATGGGAGCCTTGTGGACAGCAGGTATGAGCCGGGGGTGTGGGGGCGACTAAAACCTCATGGGAAGGGGGGCGTTCCAGTCCGTCCTTCACGCCCTACCGAGGTCACCAGTCACCCCTCACGAGCGGCTCTCCAGCACGGCCACGGCCCCAGAAGCACAAGGACTTAATGCAGAACCCAGCAGCTTGGAGCAGAAAAGTGAATGGACTATGCGTTGATCCAGCCCATCAAGTCTGCTGGAGGGGAAAGGGTGTTGCCCCATTCGCCCTCTCCTCTCTGGAAAGAAAGATGGCGGCCACATGGGAGCCTTGTGGACAGCAGGTATGAGCCGGGAGTGTGGGGGCGACTAAAACCTCATGGGAAGGGGGGCGTTCCGGTCCGTCCTTCACGCCCTACCGAGGTCACCAGTTGCCCCCCACGAACGGCTCTCCAGCACGGCCACAGCCCCAGAAGCACAAGGGCTTAATGCAGAACCCAGCAGCTTGGAGCAGAAAAGTGAAAGGACTATGCGTTAATCCAGGCAATCATTTCTGCCCAGAGGGGAAAGGGTGTTGCTCCCTTCCGCCCTCCTCCCTCTGGAAAGAAAGATGGCGGCCACATGGGGGCCTTGTGGACAGCAGATATGAGCCGGGGGTGTGGGGGCGACTAAAACCTCATGGGAAGGGGGGCGTTCTGGTCCGTCCTTCACGCCCTACCGAGGTCACCAGTTGCCCCCCACGAGCGGCTCTCCAGCACAGCCACGGCCCCAGAAGCACAAGGACTTAATGCAGAACCCAGCAGCTTGGAGCAGAAAAGTGAACGGACTCTGCATTGATCCAGGCCATCAAGTCTGCCGGAGGGGAAAGGGTGTTGCCCCATTCGCCCTCTCCTCTTTGGAAAGAAAGATGGCGGCCACATGGGAGCCTTGTGGACAGCAGGTATGAGCCGGGAGTGTGGGGGCGACTAAAACCTCATGGGAAGGGGGGCGTTTCGGTCCGCCCTTCACGCCCTACCGAGGCCACCGGCTGCCCCCCGCGAGCGGCTCTCCAGCACGGCCAGGACTCCAGAACACAGAAACCAATTTCTTAACTATCTGACTTTCAGTAGAAATACTTCCAGGGTCAATAGGTAAAAGAGCAGAAATCCAAAACCAACATTTAATTCTTGAACCCAGCCGTAGAAAGCAAATCACTTCACAATGCTTTTTCAGCATGTCTGATTTGGGGGGGGGGGGGGTAAACTCTAAATAATAGTGGTGAATCTTTTATTGAAACAATGAATCTAATCAAAGCAGATAGAGTGTTAACTAGAATTCATCTGCTTCACAGGGACGGGGAGGGGTGGGGGGTGGGGTTTTATTGGGGTTCTTCATGGTAAAAAATAAGTATTGGTAAAGGGAAATGTGTTTGATATTTGCATGACTGAGACATAAACCTGAAAGCTTTGTAACCTTTCCCACAGTGATTCAATAAATAAAAAAAAAAAAAGTAGTTTAAATAATCATATAAGTTATTAGGAGTGGGGCTAGAGTGATAGTACAGCCGGTAGGTTGACATGGTAGATGGCAGGCTCAGGTCTGATCCCCAGCATTCCATATGGTTCCCAGAGTACTGCCTGGAATAATTACTGAGTGCCAAGAAAGGAGTAACCCCTGAACATCGCTGGGTGTGACTCAAAAAGCCAAAAGTAAATAAATAAAATTAAAAAAATAAGTTATTAAGAGCAACTGAGTATTTCATGAGATTTTTTTTTTTTTGCAGGTCACGGTAGGCTTGTGGAATTATTATTGGCTCATAGTAAAATGAAATCTGAGAAAAGCCTTAAAAACACAGACCTGGTTAAGAGGTAACTTCCTGGTTCAAGTTAAGTGGTAGATGTTGGAACTTGCTTTGTTTGTTTGTTTGTTTGTTTGGGCCACACCCAGCTGTACACAGGGTCTACTTCTGGCCTCTGAACTTACTGATCCCTCCAGGCAGGAATGAAGTGACCATAAGGGGTGCCAGGATCAAACCCACGTCAGCTGAAAACAAGGCAAGCACACTGCTTGCTGTACTATATCTTTTAGGCCCCTGAGATTTGTGATATTTAAAGACAATAAAATATACTTTTATTTCAGTGGATGTTAATGAAATAGGAACTATTTTCAAGGTTTTCACAAAATATGCCTTTTCATCACAAAAGTCATTGGAAATTGCTTGGTCTTATGACCCAGAAGTACCAATAGAGAATCCAAGAGAAAAATGAGATAGAACACTTCAAAAATAGTGTTGTCTGTATTTATTTTTCTATTAGAACTCCAAATAGTTGCCTTGGCAAGCAGGCTGCTCTGTCAACTGCCGCCTTCTGAGGACTCAGAGGTGTTTACAGAAATTGAAAGTTCCAGCAGTACATTTCCATGAGCTCATTACCAGTTCCAGTCATACCCTTCAGATTTTTTCATGTAGAGATAAAGTATCCCTGGGTAGGAACTCCTGCTGGAGGTTTTTGTTTTAATTACAAAGAAGCAGAAGTCAGATATGTGATTAGTGATGTCAGGGCATCTTTTTAGAATCTCTGCTTTGTCAAAGCAAAGTGTCCTTTATTGCCTGCCTCTTTATGCTAATCAGTCTAGCCCACTTGGCCCCTCCTCCTTTCAGCTTCCTTAAGAACTGTTCCTTTCAGCTGTCACTGAAGGGAACTCAGCTCTGGCTTAGAAATCACTTAATTTAATTCAGCAATACTTTTCTCTCTTTGTATTATTACTCCAACGGTCCTCTGCTCGAGGTGCCGGATTTCTAGTCAGCAAAAGGAATAAAAAAAAAAAAAAACTGCCCAAAAGGCAGTCTGTTAGAAAGAATTACCTGGTAGGATTTTGAACTCCAGGGAGAAAGTTTCTATGTGTTTTGAAAGGAAAGAAGAATTAAGTTGTGCTTTTTACCAATTTCATTGGCATCTTTATGTGGAAGAGAAGTTACTTTGGTAAATATTTATTTCAAGAACCATGACTACAAAAACCTTGGAAGTTTATTAAGAAAAATAAATGTTTTTCATGCAAGGACAGGATCTGCATGTACTGCTTTGGCTCCCGGTATCTTGTAAAGACCATCTGAGGTGCCCAGCCCAGGAGAGGAAATGTTCTAGTGACACCCGAGCCTCAGCCCACACTTCTAGAGCCATGTCTACTGCACAAAGAGAAGGCAGCTGCCACCTCTTCAACACTGTGCACACCTGTAAACTGCAGCTTCCAGAGGATCAGCGACCTCACGGTGAGTCAGTCAGGCTAGCAGGCACTGTTCTCTGTCTTCCTGTCCATGGGCAGTCCTGAAAGAATGGTAGACTGTGGGAGTCTCTGGGGAATCTTCCAGTTTTAAACTCCAAGAATAGACATGATAGTGATGCCGATGGGTAGGCTACCTTGGGCTCACAATTGCTTTTTTGTTGGTTTGTTTTGGGGCCACACCAGGGGATATTCAGGGGTTGGTCCTGGCTCTGCACACAAGAATCACTCTTGGTGGATTCAGGGAACCATATGGAATGCCAGATATCGAACCCAGGTCAGTTGTGTGGAAGGCAAGCACCTTACCCACTCTCCTATCTCTCTGGGCCCTCATGATTGTTTTTTAAAAGACTATCAAAGGCTATCAAGTGTGCATATTCCATGAAGCTGTACTTCTGAAGCTTAAAGTATTACAGTTCTATCCACTTTGATTTTTCTAGCACATGCAAGATGTTGTGTGATTCAAAACACCCTCCTGAAAAGGATGAATTGGCTAGGAGTAGACTTAACTTAAGTTAGCCTGAAGTATTCTCTTTTGTCCCACCCACTTATAGTACATTTTTAAAATTTAAAGTTTAAAATTAATTTTATCTGGATCTCTGGCTTATTCATTTGTAGGAAAACAAATACATTCTTGATTCCTTTCCTATGTGGTCCAAGAACGGCCAGAGACAGACAGAAGAGTATCACCTTTCAAATGATAGACACTCACTTAGAATAAACTGTCTACCTTGCAGCCATTCTCACCATTAGTCTTTAAAATTTTCAAATGTACTAAGCAGCCGCTGCGTCAATTAGTGACAGATGGTTGACATAAATGAAAAAAAAAATCTCTTCTAACCGTTCTGTTGGGGACAGCAAAGAACATTTTAAGGAAAGATTGCATGCTGTCAGGATGACATCATCCATTCATGTCCTCCCCCTCCCAGAGGGAAGGGTTTATCCCAGACATTCCAAACTCTCAAAAGCCCTAGATGGTTCTTTCCATATAGGGATCTAAGCAATGCACTTTTGAGTTTATTTTTCTGTAGTCACAGTTTTAGATTTTAGAGGCATCCAGAGTGCTGACTCGGGGACTAAAAGCCCCTTTCCAGGGTGGCATATAGGTGCTAACGTTCGTGGGAATGTATTAGTGACTGGAGCTCTGTAAGGTCACTGCATGCTTACAAGGCTTAACATATATAGGGAGAAGAGAGTCTTATTAAGTGGAGAAAGTGCAAACTTTGGAGACCACTCTGTACCAACAGGGCTTATCTAAATATATCAAACTAATGGTCTTAGAATATAAAGTCCTAGGGGCTGGAACAATAGCACAGCGGGTAGGGTGTTTGCCTTGCACAGGGCCGACCCAGGTTCGATTCCCAGCATCCCATATGGTCCCCCGAGCACTACCAAGAGTTATTCCTGAGTGCATGAGCCAGGAGTAAACCTTGTGCAACTGTGCAACACAGGGTATAACCCAAAAAGAAAAAAAAAAAAAGATTTAAGCATAGCATTGTTAGATAGAAATAATGAGAAGTGTGTGTGTGTGTGTGTGTGTGTGTGTGTGCTCACGCGCTAATGTGTATGCAAGTGTATTTTGTTCCTTCTTTATTAGAAGATCCTAGTTCATCATAGTGTTTTATTTGCTTTTCATTTTGTTTGAAATGTTTAAAATGTTTAATATTTTCTTCCACCTCCATGCTCCACTGATTGCTGATGTAATATTTATTATAGAAAATTGATAATGAAAAATTGTTGCTATTAACATTTCTATCCATAGTCTTGTGACCTTTTCTTCTCTGCATGTGTAATACCATCTTTGCTTCATTTAAAACAAATCAATCATATTTTATATAGTTATGTGACCTGCTTTTTAACTCAACAAATATGAAAAAACTTTCATTTTATTGTGTATTCCATTATATAATCTTCTGCTATCTTAAGTTATATGCTGTTTCCTCAAAGGGATACAGCAAAATTGCTCTAATAACTCTTTAAACACTTCATTTACTTCTAAATTGTCTTTATTATGAACAACATTGTGTTTGAAGCAAACTAATATATAAATAATTGCAGAAACAATTTCCTTGGTATATATTCTTTGAGATGATTGTAAATCTCAAAATATTCATATTTTAAAGAAATTTTTCTGTGAACCAAATGTCCTCCAATCTGAAAATAAAGATATATTCTGAGCAACACTGGGAATTAAAAATTGTTTCCCAGTTCTATAAGTGGAAAATTGTATCCCCCTGTTGTTTAAGAAAAACTATCCCAGTGATCTCTCCCTGACTGGACATATCCAAAGCAGCCCGGAAATATCATTACGATGACGTATTCCCCAAAACATGAACAAGTCTGACTTCTTTTTTCAGACTGAAGCTTTTACCTAGAATGTTTTGAAAGCAGCCATATTCTTCCACAGCAGACTCTCAAAATATCTTCCCACAAAAACCACAATCCATAACATTGTAAAGCACGCTAATGCAGTCCAGACTGGCCAGTGACTGCTATAAGAAATATCATGTAGAGATCTGAGTTGACAAGTGACACTGAACAGGGTTTGCTATGTTGCTACTCAGCATGACAATTAATGTCCTAAAATTTTAAAGTATTCATTAGTGCAGCAGCCCTGGTATTTCCTCCATGCTGTATGTACACCTTGGTATTATGCAAAGTTCAGCCAAGGTCCAAGAAAGCCAAGTTGTTAGTTTCAAAGAATGAAGTTCAACTGTGCATTTATTCACTGAGTGTGTCGCTTTGGTCTAGACCCAGCATTCTAACAGATCAACTTTCTGTTTGAACATCCACACCATGATTAATTGACATTTGATTCTTTGGAGTCCGTGACCATACCTAACCCATGAATATTTTTAATCCTTCTATACTATATGCAGAGTGCTTTATATTAACTGTAAAGTACTTAACTCTTTCCACATAGGCACTCCTAAACATATACTTTGTGGGCAATCATATAAAAGCCACTCGCTCCAGAAATTATCTCGACAATAACTGTGCAAAAATGTAGTGCCAGATGCTGGGTATGAAAGTTTAACTAAACCAGCTGAGTTTATGTAAAATCTTAGCACACTGAAAGTTGTGTGTTCACGGGCTCTCTATCTCAAGGCCTGCGTTCAGTGCTCTTGAACCACTGTGTGTGGCCTGGATCAGGACGGCTGTTGGCCAAGAGCAGACGAAGGAAGAAATGAGGGCCAGGGTGGTCGATATCAATTGTAGTTTATTCCAATCCTCTTCACTCCTGTCTCTCCTCTGCCTCCTCTCCTGAGCCCCAATCTGGAACCGTTTCTCCTTCTGGCTCTGACTCTGGATCTCTGGAGCCCGAGCTCTCTCACTTTTGCCCCCTCCCAGTTTACATTTTTAGTTTATATAGTAATCACGTAGGGTGGTGACACAAAGGTGGGTTGAACATGGACAAATCAACAAAGAGAGGTAAGACCACTCCTTCAGGAGATTAACTCAAGGATAAAATCTCATCTAAAGTGATTACTCCAGATCACTCCAGATTACTAGGAGGTTCGCTCAAGGATGGGATCCCAAAAAGGGTGTGTTCTTTCCTCAGCTAGTAATCTACTTAAATAGTTGTAGTAACATCGTAGTTGATATTTAAGTAGTAATCTAGTTAAATTGTTGTTCTATAGTGCTGCAGTTGTAGTAAATCTACTTCTAATATTTCTAGCAATGTCATTCTGTGTGAGCACAGTAAGTGATATAAACTTACAATTTGGTTCTTCCTGAGAACATCTCACTATACATTCCGCAGTCCTCAGGCCAGGCTAGTCTTCTAGCCCCAGCAGGGTCCTAGTCTTGTCATTACTTACTTTTTAGATCATGACAGCATTTGTTCATGATCATACCCTCAATTTATAGTTGAGTATTGTGGCGCTTTGGCCTGGCCATTTTGATGCCAGGGTAGCTCACAGCTGCCCTGGGTCCATTCAGTCCCTCGTCGGGACCCTGCTTTTGGGGTGCTAGGAACTAAGGGCAACTGAGTCAAGAAAGCAGATGTCCAGGAGTAAATATTATTCAGAATCAATCAACTCCCACGTAAAAAAGCATAATATTAACTGCCTTCCTGTGTCCATACAGAAAGGACATTGCTTTAAGGTAAACTGTTCAAAAGACATAACTTACAATACAAGTTCAGTGTCCTTAGAAGGATCGGATCTTACAAGCTAACAGAATCTGATTAGGGAGAAAAGTTGATTAACTGGCTGTGGAGAGCACAGAGAAGAGTTTACAGATAAACAGAGGAATGCGAGTGACTCGGGAGAACTGGGATGGGTGTGACCCGATAAACCTAAGCTACCTGAGGAAGGATAAAACAGTGTTATCTTACAAGTTTAGATCCTGCCTATGTGGAGTGTACATCTATGGCAACAGGTATTTATGCCAGGAGATACAAGAGCCTCTCGCTATTTGTTGCTCTCTGGTAGCTCTTTTGTGATATTTAAAAATCCATTTAGCCATCATTTGATCCCATGAATACATTTGTAAACATTCACTTATGTCTAGGAAACTTCGACAAACTTCAACACATATTTACCCTGGTCAATTTAGCCATCCTTATGGTAATATATATAACGGTTTAAAATTTACCCCCAAAATTTTACATACTTGATCTCATTGAAATCTCACATCAAATACATGATGTAGTGTTATCAGTCATGCTTCTCCAAAAAAATACAACTAGTAGGATAGCTTTTTTAGGGAGACAGGAGAGAGAGGGAAGGTTGGGAGTTAATTTAAGGACTTGAATCATAGGATAACGGAAGGTGGTAAGTCCAGTATTTGCTCTGAGGTTTGCAAAAGCTGGAGACCCTGGTGAAAATGTGAGCAATGCTGCAGCTGAAGCCTCTGGGCAATGTGTTGGCAGAATTCCTTCTAGCTCAGATATCAGTCTTTTGTTCATGACTTTAGCTGAATGAATGAAGCTATTAGCATTATGGAAGGCAAACTACTTACTCAGAGTCCACTAACTTAAAAGTA